GGAGCCACCAGCATCTCCAGGAGCACCGTTGCCACCTGGGGCCTCAGCGCTTTCCTGCTTCTGGCTTTCCTGCTTCTTGCATGCAGGCACTGCTGATCCCTCAGCTGGAAGGGAGCCACCAGCATCTCCAGGAGCACCGTTGCCACCTGGGGCTTCAGTGCTACTCTGCGACTTCTGGCGAGGCTGCCGTTTGGGCTTCAGCTGTTCTTTTGTTTTGCTGGCATCGATCTTCATGTCCAAAAAAGATTCCAGGTCCCCTTCATTCTTAATGTGGTCATCTTCTTCCGACAGTTCAGGATCGTAGTCAGGGTCTTCAGTACCATCAAGGGGTACTCTAGCCTTGCCCTTCTTCGGTTCTGCCTTGGCCTTGGGTTTACGTCCCCTCTTCTTGGGTTCCGCTTGTGCTTTTTCAGCCTTTTCTTTCTCAGCCTTTTCTTTCTTGGTCGGTGCTCTTGGTGGCTCTTGGGTCTCAATGGCAGCAGCTCGCATTTTGCGCTGTGCCTGGAACAAGGCTAGCTAGCTCTAGCTCTTAAGACTTAAGATTAAAGACATGTACGTTGTTTTTTGCATATTGAAGTTAAATGGTGCGTTGTTTTTTGCATATTGAAGTTAAATGGTGCGCCTGCACCACGTTGGTTTCGTTCTCTTCTCCTCTCCCAAGAGCAGCAGCAGCAAGCTCGGCTTGCTGGACCAAAGTTGCCGGGATGTTTGGAGGTGCAAGTCCAGGTGCAGAATCCTGGCATCGAGTTCATGGGATTTCTTCAGTGTGCATCGTAACAATAGTAAATAATTGTCATTCGAGAAGAAAGACCCTGCCTTAAAGGTTCCTTTATCTTCTTCACATTTGCATTCTGGTGGTGTAGGAGGAGCAGCTTCTGGTTTTTCTGGCTCACGATCAGTAGGCGACTCCACAACATCTGGTTTCTTGGGTTCCGGAGCAGTAGGCTTATCCAGGATATCTGATTTCTTTGGCTCTGGAGCATCCGGTGTCTGGGGCACTGGAGCCAGCTCGTTGGGGATCTCTTTGCTTTCTTCGACCGTAGGCAAAGCAATATCTATGAGGGGTGTTTTCTCATGGTTCAATACAACGATCTCATCGTCAGTTTCAACCTCCTCCTCAACTTCTTCTTCTACGTACACCACTTCCTCTAGATCATGAGCTACCTGGTCATCACCTTTTGATTTCTCTACTTCAGTGGTTGTGGCTCCCGCACTGGCAGGTGCTGATTCAGTGCAGGTGGGCTTCGCCGGAGAGCCTGGGCGAATGCAGGTCAATCCAACTTGTAACACCTTTATAGCCTGGCTAGCAACCGACCTTTTTAAGAAAGCTGCATGCAGGCAAGCATAAATATTTGGGGCAACCAAGTGGCACTTCACAAAGTTTCTCTTGGAACGGCCCCGCTTTTGGATGCCATTTTCCTAGGAAAGCATCAAAGTATCGTGTCTAGGCCTTCCTGGTACACAGCATGGGTGACAAAAGTGTAGTCCTGATAGTTGGCCAGCAGAACATTCTTGAGCGACTGCATTCGTTCAGCATTAGGCCTGCACTCCAACGAGGGTGTTGCGCTGTGGGCCAACTGACCGGGCCAACTTCTTTCCAATGAAACACTTGTGTTTCTGCAAACCATGGGCCTCTTGGAGCTCCCAGTATTGGACCAATCGTTTGGGAGCTCAAACATGACATGACTTGGGTGTGCCAGTTTTATTTTGGGAATTGGGCCCCATGAAAAGCTTAGCCAAGTCAGCCGGCCTGCAGCTGTGCGTGCGGCTCACCCTGCGATGTACATATGAGGGCAGGGCCCTGTTAAGCCCTGCCTCCTTGTCAGCCCAGTCCTGGAAATAAAGTGGACATGATTTGTGTGTACACCATTTGTTCAGTGCAATTTGATCCATGGGTCCATCACGCAACCACGTTTCTGGTCCTGCAATCGTACCGCATCCTCCTTGGATGGTTCATTAGCCTTGGCCAGGTAGAAGAGCTTGAACTGCACGGCAATCTCCATCAACGCCACCTCAGAACATAAACATTGAGTATGTTTGTTCGATCTACTGTATGTGTTGAGCATTCCTTAAATGCATGCATTTCCCTTGACCCCAATGAATTTGCTATCAAGGGGCCACCACTTCAGCATGGGTAGGCGGGTTTGAAGCAAAGGACGCCAACCAGTTCAAGGTAAATTCATAGTTGCCATCACGCTGAACCTTCACATGGGGAGGAGAGTAAACTCTGTTTGTTCTGTTTGTCCCATACCAAGGCCTCATCTTCATTCACTGATGAACCCTCCAAGCGCACAAACGAAAAGTAGCAGGGAACCTGGGCTTCGTTTCTTGATAATATAGATGATGATGCAAATCTGAGCTGAACAGAGAAAAGAAGTGTGCACAGGCAAGACATGTGGGTCCAATCTTGTACTAGGAGACCTTTCCATCTTTCAATGCACGGAGAACCTTCTCCTTTGGGATCCCCAGGGCCACACCGCATTCTACAAATCGTGTTTTCCGATAGTCTGGCTCCTCGAAGAATTCCCGGTAGAATTCCTGGAGCACTTGTCCAAGATGTGCAATCTGTCCTTTGAACAGTTAAACAGCTTTGAAAGTCAAACAGCTTCGTCCTTAAGGAGTTCAACGCGGTGCTTCTCAGGCTTCACTGTGGGCATCGTGCCAACTAGTGCACTAAGTACAAAATGTACTAGGCAAAAAAATGGCTGCAGTACAGCAGAGTGTTTTGGTGGCTCATCTGCACACAATCCAAATTTCATGCTGTGGGACAGGGGAAAGGCAAAGGCACCTACAGCAGGTTCAGCATAGAGCTCTTCATCCAAAAGGCCATGAGCCGAACGATCTAGAACTTCACAGCGGCCTGGAAACAAACAAGGTGTCATGTATTAGAGAGTGGACTGTTCAGAAAAAGAACTTTAGCAAATAAGACTCCCACGTCTTCGAAGCGCTTTGCGCATCAGCAGGCCATTGCCCCCAAAGCCCGTCAACCATTAGCGAGGAAGTGAGAAAACTGCAACAAACGATTTGCAAAGCAACCGTCCTTTTCCAACATTCAGAAAGATCCCAAATGCTCTAAGCAAAATCCTGTTCTTGGGCACTGTTCGGTCCAAAGTCTCCTCCCCTTCCCATCATATGGGAGGGCCTCACCAATTAAAGGTGCTGCGGCGGAAACCTTGTTTTCAAACCCGGCCTTCAAAGGTTTGGTTCTTTACCACAGGATCTAAGATCTATACTATATTCACGCGATGATGGTCCATCAATCTAAACATCATTCATGAAATTCATGTTGTTCTCCCCATTCACGCCCATTCACGGTACAAGGTAGTACTCTTTGGTCTTTCCGGAAGACCATAGTATTAATGGCGCTTGAAGATTAGGGTACAACTTTCCCAGGCAATTTTTCGGTTTTGAGCTCTTCCCAGGTTTCCATGTTTACGGGTCCCCCGATTTCGGGGACCTCCTATTAACAAAAACGACACCGGAGTGTTCATGTCTTTTTACGGGTGCATGTGTTTGTTTTGTTGTTTTAATAGGTGGAACGGAGTATTAACGACGTATATCTCAGACCACCCATACATGGGAAGAGTTCTACTTGTATTCGGGGTCAGGGGTAAACCTATGCGAGTCTTCCAGTCCGGAATGTTTGGGATATGTTCATTATCTCAAGATCCATCCCAACACTTCCGTGTTGTGCTCATTCGTGTTCCCCCTCCATCACGACCGCCGGGTCGAAACCGCTGAAGCGACCGATCGGAAAAACTGGGCCCAAGCACCCAGAAGTACAGTCTTGCCGAGTGGTGGAAGACTAAGGTCACAGTCCCGTGGGGAGTTGAGAAGAAAAGGAGGTTCTGAGGGGATGGTAACTGACCCATCGAGGATTCCCTCGGATTGTTCTTCTTCACCTCGATTTGTTGGTCTCGTTTCCCTACGGCTTCGCTATCAGCTCCGTGAAACGAAGATGGGGGTCCGCGTCTATCCGCCGAACCTGAGGATATGGGCCAGGAGCCCTAGGGTCTCTTCATCTAAATCAATGGAGCCCTGGGGTTGGAGCCCGAAGGAGATATCATAATCTATCATGATCATCTTCAATGACTGGAGCCCTCTCTCATCTTGTAGAATTATGATATCTTATCTTGATATTAATATATCTCTATAGATCTATATATACCAGGAGTCACAAAAGGGTGGTGTTTAATGGGCACCCCTAACCTCCAAGCTGCACCCCTTGGTGACTGCTGGTATATATACACATATTAATCTATCACCTGTCTGGGTTCAGTGCATGATCCACTTCTTCACCGACAGCCACCGGTGCTTCGTCGCCTGGGTGCTTCGTCGGAAGGCGCCCACCAGGTCGCTAAAGGCCTCAATCGACGACGAAAAACGCATCCGAAGGGATGACCCTTCAAGTCATACATGGATGTAGTTGATATGATTTACCTATACATGGATGTATTTCTATTTCCGTATGCCAAGTATATAACATGTTTGCCCTTCTATGATGATATACTTATTTTTATTCCATACACATGTATGGACGTTTTGATAAATGTTTATAGCTTAGCAGCTGGACCCTTAAAACATCCTGAAGAATCGCCAGTAATCTAGGCAAACATTCTAGTTGTTCAAACGGGGGCTTGGTCGGGTGTCGTGGAAGATGTGGAGACTTTTGGAGAAACTGTATCTTGGTGAAGTAGATGTTGTGAGATATTGTGAGACCAAGCGGATAAACAAATATATACATCGACCATCCTGCAAATCAGGCTTCCCCACACGAGACATCCTCTGTAAATGAGGGTGCCCATGGGCTACACTGCGGCGCACAGTGGCACGGATTGCGTTCGGCATCGCGACCTGCGGGAATTGGAACGATGCACTCGAGAATTGGACAAAGTATGACAAAGATTGACAAAGTGTGTTCTTTGAGGATCTCCGGGGAATACCTCTATCCATCCATGTATGTGCTCATAATGACACTATGTTTTTGCAGCGAGAAAAGTGGCAGCGGTATTTGTTCAATTCATTCAGTATGCATGATCATACATGTATACTGTAACGTTTTCCATCTTTTAATGTAGATATATATATATTATCCTGACTTGCTCTTGTGCACACTTTTTCACATGTGATGAACGTACAGTTAAGCACTATATATCATATAGCCCAACATTAGGCACATCCATGGTCAATGTTTTACTCTAGGGCAGGGTGTATAATTATGTCTTTTCATAACATCCATTAAACTACAACAAGGTTCAACTACTTAAACCAAATGATGAAAGCGTTTGCTAGTGGCAGAATGCCAAGGCAAAGACCATTATATACAAGTAGCTGTTGGTAATGGTGAAAGGCTTCTGGTATCTCTTCGTCACCCTGGTTGCAAAGCCGCGAGCCACCAACCACGTCCATCTATAATTCCTCCCATGCAGCTTTGCGAAACGATACTCACAGCATCGTTTGATTCAATCATGTCACCAAAGGTTCCTGGCCGCATGTGGGACAGCCTCTACAGGGAGATAGAAACAATGAATGTCCCATATGTGGTTGAAGAAATGTTAACTATGTGTTTCTACGACATCCGCCGCCGCATTGACCACTTGTGAGGCAAGTGGTACCACAACAGGCATCAACAGGTGCATCACATGGGCCGTGTCACACCCATTTCGGATCCGCTGGCGGAAAATCCCTCCGCACCTCCGATCAGCGATCGCACTCCCGCTACTCTCCAACACCCCCGGAAAAGAGCGGCAAAACTGCGAACGACCGCGGCACAGAGTCGCAAGAAGGTCGGCCCCACCAGGTGTCGTGGTAGGCCGTATGATGACCAATCTAAGACTTAGCTCTACCAGAAACGGCTCAGCCGATCCATAGGTTTCTAGTTTGGTTTCTTAGCGATCAAGAGGCTCTTAGATCTGAGACTCTTCGACTTAGTGACTTCGCCGCTCTAAGATCTGAGGCACCAATGGTTCTCGCCTGACCTGTAGATCCATCCGAAGGGAAGCGATCCCATTTCGGATCGTTGCCATTCCACAGTTTAATGGGTGTGACCCTGGGATTCCAACGGCTGTTGTACTGGTCCTTCCCAAAGAGCCATGTACTAAGGATTTTGGACTAGAAAACCCAGGTCAACCATTATTTTAGTGGTCATTTGAAGACGAATGGGATTTGATACACCGCACGAGCCGACTGGTCTTTCAAAGCTCCGTCCTTTCCGATCTCGGGGAAGACCCTGACTCCTTGACCGACTGGGTGAACTCGAAGACAACACGGTGAATCCGAGTGGTTTCCTCAATCTTTGAGCAAATTTAGGTCTTTGCTCAACAACCGCTGTCATATTATTGAATGGACTGTGACTCTTTGACTCTTTGACTCACTGTGACTCTTTGACTCACTTTCAATACTTCTTTTGCCTTTCCACTTCTTTCCACTTCCTCCCCGCCGGCCAAATCCACTCCCACTCCCCCAAGCCCTCCACGCCCGGAAAACCATCCGCACCCATCCGCAAGGATCCGGTCTCCGACCGCGGAGACCGGCAGCGCCTGTCCTGGAAGAGACTTTCCATCCACAACTCACCTGGTCCATCAACACGCTGCCGGCCTCTCCAGCCTCACGCTGCGCTCACCAAATCTCGCACACGGGGCTCGGGGGCTCGGAATCTCGCATCATTTGTTCTGCATGCTGCGTTCCAGACCTGAATCTCACTGGCATAGCTGCATGCCTGTGCCAGAGCAAAACAAGCTTTCAATGTCTGAACCCGAATTGTGAGCAAAAAGAAAAACCCACTGAGCGGAATCCACCGGCAGAGCAACGCCGGGTGACCGTGAGACAAGCGGAATTGGTGACGCTGGGATATGCCGAATTGCTCAAGGAATGGTGAAACTCACTGCCATGTTTTCCACCTGGTGGCGGGTATACCTGGTAGCTCCAAAACCCCCCAAAAAAAAAATCCCCAAAACCGACCAAACGATCGTCAGCGAAACATATCTGTTTGATCAGGCCATTGCGGACCACATCTGTTTGAGCCCGGGTAGCCACGGTCAATTTCAGTCAGGAAGACTGGAAAACCAATCTTAAAAACAACTTTTGAAAAAGGGCCTGCTGGACCCAGTGAGTAATTTGAACTGACTAGAACTGACCCTTAAGGTGCACCATCCACCCCTCCTCATCCCCAACCTGCTTTGACTCGATCTCGGCGGCGGCCTGGTCAGAAAAAGCGGAACAAATGGAGCATGACGGAGCTGCCTGTATCCCAATGGGATCACTGCCTCAAAAGGACATTGGACCCTCCTGGCGCTACTCCAATCAAGTGTCTCCTGTCTCACAGGGTGACTGGACTGCCCTGCCTGGGTGTTTCAAGGATGTGCGTTGCCAACGCAGCACCGGCACTACGAACCCGAGCCGAACGCGCGTGTCCATCACGTTAAGGTTGGGACTAAAACCTCTATCAATCCTGGTGGACTCCAGGTGGACCCATCAAATTGGGGAAGGCGCAATCCCATTGTAACCACTCTTTCTTCACCCCCTTTAAAGAAAAAACACTGAAGTAGACCCTTCCTGGTGGGCTCTTTTGCTACCCTTCTTGGGATCCTCTTTCCCCCCAAAAACCCGGCGGGTTGAACACACCGTCCGACGCCGCCTCCACGGTGCCGGCGGACTGGGAATGGCGCATCTGGCGATCCGCCGGACGGTCAGCCGATCGAGCTCGTCGTGGGGGAAAGGACCGGTGTTCTCGAATCTGATGATCTGCTACCAGGCTGGGGGTTGAGTGAGTCTGAATTTCTGCCTATCTGGTGTTTGGCGGCTTCAAGAGACAATGATTCAGTATAGAAATCCTTCACATCCTCCTGCAACAGGCTTTGATTCGGCGGACACGGGTCACTCCGAACCCATCGCGAACCCTTATAATCACGCCGATCACGCGAAACCGCCGACGGTGCCGTCATGTGGCATGCAATTCTTGGTCTCCGCCTGTTCCCAGCCCCCTGAGGTCGATTTGCCCAGCCTCCACCGTCCCCATCTCACTGCGTCCTGCCGCGAAAGAGAAAACGATGACGTCGGAGAGCCGTGACGAAGCTTCGGACGCTGGGAACTAACAGCTTCAAACACTCTAAATGGATTGGATCGTAAGAAGGAAACCGTCCGTGTAACACAATTCTTTTGGGTGTTACATGGTGCTGGTCCGGCTGCGCGACTACATCGGAACCCCATCCGCTCGGCCGCAACAGGAGAACCCGCTCCTGGCTCGGAGGTCAAGCCTGCAACGAGCGGTTGAAATGGACCGGTGACTGTACCATGGCACATGTGGGCCCACTCATTGTTTAGCAGTCAGGGCGCCATTCTGCGGGTCAAACAACTGCTTGGGGAAGCAAATGTCAAGTTCATGCCACAAAAAAGCTCGCAAGCCATGTCGCACCGAAGCAAATCCCAACCAAAGCTACACCCCTGAAAATGGACCTTTGGAAAACGATTTTCCTCTACAACCCCGTGGTTTTCAGGTTCCATGTTAAATTTTCAGAGTGTGTAAGTCAACATGAAATGTCAGTGCATGTCGGAATTGACCAGGTCACACCGGCATAGTCCACAGTGACGACTTCGATGCCATCTTTTGTCGAGGGCGAAACTGGGATATGACCAAGCGAAGCAAAGTGGAACAGATTAGAAGAAAATCCTTGTGATCCCATATTGCTTCCAAACACATCTAAACAAATCACCTTTGTCCATTATAGCGGAACTCTTGTGATTGGCTGTGGGTTCCAAATTAGTATCTGAAACATGAGCTGCGGGTATATCACGAACAAAAAAAGGACAAAAGGGAAGCTTGAGACTTGTCCGACTTGTCCCTTTTAGATCGAGCTGGAGCCTGTTTACAGATTACATTGTTCCATGTGGTTTTCACACATTCAACCAAATCCCTCAACATGGAACCCATCTGTGTTGGGTTCCACGCCAACATCTGTCTTACAGACTCGTCCCGAACATGGAGTTCGCCAAACTTGGACGATGTTCAACCTCCGACTTCGCCAGTTCCCCGGAACGGAGTGAGAAAATCCGATTTTTGGGGCCACACCTTGGGCCTCCATTACCAGGGCCCAGTGGATCATGATGGGTAGTAATTAAAGGGCTTATAAATGGTGATCGTCGTTGACCGACTGGTCCTGGTCATGAGGCCATTACGGCAATACCCTCTGGTCACGCTTTTGGAGTTCCATGTTGGTTGAACAACACCGTCAGCCCTCGTTTGCGAGAAACAGCCATCTAGCCTGCCCTCTCTTTTTTGGTTCTATCATGTTCTATCTCATAAGTGTTGGGCAAGGGTGCTGGGTAACAATGCGACCTAGACTATGTGGATTTGCAACTTGTTCATTCAGACTGTGGTTTTGCTTATGAGGAACCCCCAAAAAAACACAAAATAACACACAACCCTGGTCTCTGCCGAAGTGCCTAAGGCATCGCCCAAGACCTGAGCCCGGTGAGAGATTCTTCATCGGCGGAACGAGATCTTTCGGAGAGAGAGAGAGAGTGGCGTGTCACGCGACGTGATTCAATTGAATTTCAGAAACGATTGAACGTAATGTACGTACTGTATACGGACGTAGCCTGTTCAACATTGTTCATCATGTTTATCCATGCCGTATGCCATATGCATGTTGTGTTGTTTGTTTGTTCCAATCCTCTTTCTTCTTTTGAAAGCTCTTCGTTTCTGTTGGGGCTCATTCTGATATACACAGTAAGACTGACTAGCAGCAAACGGACAGGCAGTTCAATGAACACCTTGAAAGGCTCCGGATGGTTTCCTCCTCTTCGGGGGAGCGTGCATAACCCAAATTTTGCAGTTGAAAGGCATGTGGCGTGGGAGTCAAACCTGCCTTGTCAACCATCCTGGCAGGACTACACTTGCTACACAAGTTCCTTGTTCAACCAGTGGTTGGGGCGTACCGTATCGTGACAAACCTTGAGCATTGCAAACATTTGACCTTGCTCTTCTTGTTTGGGGATTCTTTGGTTTCGGAAAAACCGTCCCAGTGGATGTCCAGTGTTGATTCTCCCTGCTTCGGCATCAAACCACACTTTAATGGAGCAAGATACCTCAATTAAACGAGGATAGAAAGTGGCAAAGCGTTCCCTGCGGGGAACCAAGTGAAGCAACTCATCTACAGTACATGATGTAACTTATATATATATATATTACATAACTCTGCCAATGCCATTCATTATCTCGGCAAAGGAGACCAACCACCTGAAAATAGATGGTTGACTGGGCTCGAGCCCTGCAAGTTATTTATATACAATTGAACATGCATCGTGGTCGCTGGGGCATGTAGCAGCACTACATTGCATAGTGATGCATAGTGTGTGTTATCACCCGGATCCGTTCGCTTCGAAAGGCCCATGTGCTCGGCACCAAAGCAACCACCGGTGAACGCAGCAACCAAAACACGTTGCTTCGGGCGTCCGACATCTCTAAGGGCGTGGTGGTCTTGCGTGCCCGCTAGGCCTGGCGAGACGCATCTCAAGAAGCTGCAGTTGGGAAAGTCCCCAACTAGCAATCGCTTGATCCATCTGACAGCTTCATCCTTAGGATCTTCTTCTGGATAGGGTACGTTATGGGGTTTTCATCGGTAGGGTGTGTCAATTCCTCTAACCTTGGAGGCCAATCACAAGATAATTGAGACCATCTAACTGAAGGGGTCGGGAGGGTCGGACCATCGGCGGTTCTTGCTACCGCCACGAGCCCGTCTTCGGCCGACCCCGTCACCACCGGAGTTCGATGGTGTCAGCGACCCGTGGGAGTCAGTGTCGATGTGTCGATGGATCCACATAGCTTCTGAGAAGGTGATGGGAGACTACTTATGTAGGGCTTGGAGAGTCCACATACCTTCTGAGAAGGTGGCAGTGGATCCGTCGGGTGCGTCGATGAGTCAACACGATGTGTCGACGTACCGAAGATCGCTGTACCTCGGCACCGGAAAATCCCCGGCCCACGCGCTCGGTGGAGCATCGAGCTCGGTGCCGAGCGGCACCTGCGGCACCTGCCCTCTGTAGGCTCTTCTGTGCCAAGGCTTTGGACACCTGGCCGCTCAGGCAGTGCAACTGATGGTGTGGAAGTCCGGCTGGCCACTGCGGACAGGTGTTTCTAACATGGTCTTTCATGACCTTCTGTGCTTTCTACCTCAGGGGTGCCAGGAATATTGCAGCAATATATTGCGCTATGATATGGGTTCTGTTCCTTTTTGAGGTCTAGCCCTCTCTGAGTACTATCAATCGGGGCCCGTAATGAATCCAACCAGGGTGGTTCCCTCGAACCGGCGACGGCACCGGCTGGATCGCTGGATCGCTGCATGACTCAACCCGATCGAAACGGGAGAGGGGCATGGAGAAAACAACACAAATAGAACAATGCAAACTATATAATATGTAATATATATATATGTGGGGGGACCTTTACGTATAATATAACGACCTCTCACTCCTCAGCTTCGTCCCAACTGCTGTACTCTACTCTATTCTAAAAACGATTGTGCCAAAGATGCAATGAGACTTGGATAATATACCTTACCAAATAAACGTAGAGCCTGGTGGGATACAAACAAGAGAAGTGGTATAGGGTAGGGCAAAAGATACAGTAGCGGAGCGGTCGAAAAGACAAGCAAAACACAAAGCAACGTCCATTTTACCGATGCGGCCATACGAATAAACTAGTCTCTCGAGAGGTGAGCTGCGGTCGACGACATGTGTGGAGGTTCCAAATCAGTCGGGTGTGTTGTAGTTGTAACCTTGTGTGTTTGTTCACGATGTAGTGTCTGTTCATCTTCCTATGTGGTTGGTTTAAAATTATGCTCCTTGACTTCACAAGTGAACGAAAAATGGCCAGCCATTGCCCTCAAGAGGAGCTCTCGAGAAAGGTTTCCCTTCGTGAGTCCGTCGGAAACCATGTCTCTAGTGTCGCACCAAACAAGATGGCTAGGAAGACATTTGGTCACGTCCCTTAGCCACATTAAGTGTGGGAAAAGCGACTTTTCAGCAGGGAGTCGCATCGTTGAGGAAATCCACATATCGAAAAGATTACGAGCATCAATGACTAAGGATGTCTTGAACACGAAATTCGAACATTCCCTAATCTGTCGGATCTCTTCTGCTTTTAGAGGACCTTCCAAAATTTCTTGCAACGATATGGCGAGTGGGATCATTGTGTCGACTGATCCCACTGCTGCCAATGCCTCTGAACTGAAAGTGCTTCTGGTCACTAACTTAATGCTCTGGCTACACGCTTCAAGAGCATGACATCTCTGTTTTCCATCTTTCATGCCAACTCGTAAAAGTATTGTGCCGCGCACACCGTATCCCTTGCTCTCAGATTCCTTACAGAATGAAGCATCAGAAAAACAGATGATATGTCGCGAACATTGCATGTTGGGGTATACAATGTTGGCCTTTTGCCGCTGCAAGACTTTTACAAGTGAATTCAATTTTCGGATATGCTGATATTTAGGTTTGTGCGTCTGTCTTTGCAAAGCGATTACGAACACTGCAATCCAATGTTGTGTCAGTAAAGTGTAAGCAACTGCGCCAAGCAATGACCAATACAGTCTCATCACGGCTTCTGAGCAATCGTCGTCTGGATGTTTTCCGTTCAAGTCTGCGTGATGAATTGTCTGAAGAGAATTTATATATTCGTTTTGGTCTAATGTGATGGTTCCATCTGGGCTGCGACAATGTTTGATTCCTACACATGTGAAATGATTATCATTTCGTTCATTTTTGCCAAACGTCCTTTGTAGTGCGTGCAACAAAATCTTTACCTCTGCTTCTTCTCCAGCAATCTTTAAATCGTCAACATGTTTCACTACAATTAAGACTAGTCGTCCATTCTTATGTTTGACTTCGCATTCTGAATCAGCTGCTAGTGGAGTGAGCCCCACATCTATGCTACGAGTTACTCGCGCCAGCTTCATGCTGAATGCTTTGGGCGCATCTTTGCATCCTGTGCCCGGCTTGAGACATTTCAAAACATGGGTTCGTTCATCGTAGTTACTGTATCCTGGGATTAGTCTTAAAATGTGAGCGGAATTTGGGGGCACTGTAAAGTGAACAACTCTTTCTTCCTGTCCTGTTGCTTCTGACATTTCCTTATATGTGATTCCTTGCAAAAAGGCCTTGTTTATGTCTATTGATAAGAAAGACCACTCGGGATGACAAGCAGCCTCGGACAACAAAAGCTTTTGCGATGCCCTGCTGCCAGTGGCAGCATGATTGTCCAAGGAGTCTGCGCACCACTCTTTGAAGCCACGGAGAGCCATGCGCATTCGAATGATGCGGCTCTCATATGGCTTAGATGGATCTTTCACCTTCCATTTTGCAACGAATCTGGAATCGATGATATTTTGAGCTCCTTTTCTGGAAACCATTTCGAAACATTTGTAGCCTTCCCAAATACGAAATTCCTCAAATATTGCTTCCTCCACCTTTTGTCGGTGCTGAACCAGTTCTTCCTTTGTCAAAAGATCGGATGCTCTCTTGACTACTTCAAGTTTGGAATTGGTATGATACATCTTCACAGAAAACATTTCTTCATTTTGAAGCATGTCTGCATTTCCGAAACAATTGGTCATTCCTGGAGTCACCAACAATTCTGTGAGGTGCGGTGAATCACACTCGATGGGTCTTTGCAGCACCTCAGCTGGATCAAAATTTGGGCAAGTATTAAACTGGTCAGGGACTACATATGCTTTGGGTATTTCGATTTCCGATTGTTCGATAGGGTGTTGGACTGTATCTTGGTGCAACAGCCACAGATCTCTTATTTCATCTGAATGGTTATTTATGGTGGCTGGCTCGAAGTGCTCTTTTGCAAATGCAGCGAACGCGATGTTCGATTCATGAGTGTCTTCGCTTTCTTGCGTGCCTTCTTGTATTGTGGACAGTCTGTCACTGCGAACCTCATCCGGGATTGCTACGATTTCGGATTCGTTACTTAGTTGATCATTGGTGATTTCAACGCTGTCACACAAACCGGACGGGTTGTCACTATTATGGATCAGTTGGACAAATACAGCCTTTTCCCAAGCATCTCCGATTGTGTCTGGCATGGACAGCTGTGTTCCTTCACTTGCAAATATCATGATGTCTCCGACTCTATCTTCCTGCCAGTACAGTAGCGTCGAATGTGTGGCGCCCGGCATGTTTGACAGAGTTCTGCAACCCTTGCCAATACGCACGGCATGACATTCATCGAACTGCCATACATGTTCAATCAAGTATTCGAGTGCGTGAACTAACTGGCCATGTTTGCGAGTGGCTGGAGAAAAATGCATTTGTCCTTCTTGATTCGTAATCAATCCTAGTGTGATGTACTTCTTCCAAGGCAGGCTACTTATGTAGTTCTTAAGGGTGCTTATCACTTCTTTAGTCGTTGGAGTGACTAACCATTGGAAAGATATGGTTGCAAAAAGCGTGTGTCTGACATCTTGCAACCGGCATGGCTTTGGCTTTCCATTGATTTGGACAATCACTACTCCTTCCTCAGGCACATACCTCAGCACTGGAACTGGCCCCTGCCATCCTGAAACATCCTTGGTTGTGGGCCTATGGTAATCTATTAGATCACCTGTCTTGTACTGGACTTCCGTCGCTGCAATTGCTCTGGATCTGAGTGCTCTGCTGGTCCTGGCTAAGCTTGTGGCTTGTATCATAGCTTCTAGTGCGATGGTGCGAACTTTATGCCGAGTCTGCTCGGCTGCAGGTTCTAGTTCACTTTTATTTTCATCGGCATCGGGCAGTGGTGGCAGCATCGCTGGCGTTCTACCATATATGCATTGGTAGGGTGTGACACCACCTACGTGAACTAGCGCATTTCCGGCAAACACAGCTTCTGACAATAGGGCTTCCATCGACGCTTGCACTCCTTCACGAATCATTTGGCTTTCAATGCAGTGCAACGTTGTCCTTAGTATGGCTCCTCGCCGTTCGATGAAGCGAGCGTGTTGGCCTGGTGCACGGATCTTCAAAGAAATACCAAGTCTCTTCAGCTTCGATCGCATGGAATCACCTGTGATTCCGAGTTCTCCATCACTGATCAATGTCTGCATTGGTCCATGTGTGCTTAGCCAAATCTTATGCATGGCACTCATCAATTCTTCTTCATGTCTACTTCGTACGAGGCAGGCTGCATGCCAGCGAGTACCACAGCAAATCATGTGGAATATCGTATGTTCCTTATAGAACATGAGATCCACTTCAACATGTTCGTTGAAAGCTGTTGTCATTCGCATGGTGGGAATGGTTTCGTTTGCGGGACGAGTCCAAGAGCGACATTCACGGCAAGTATCGACAACTTGACTGACCTTGTCTAGGATGCTGGATGGCAACCCAGCTGCGCTCAAGACACGCCGCATTGCTTCTTTGCCGCAATGCCACCACCGGAGGTGCAATTTGCGCAGTTCACGCATTTGTGTTTCTGGTGAACCGGTGGTGAGCGCCTTCAAAGACCTGCCTACATTGAATCGAGTCCAATCACTTGGGTGCTCGGTGCCTTCGGCAGCGTCACGGAAAGTCTTGCGATGCCTCTCACAGGGTTCTTGGATGGGTACTGATTTATCGGGGACTAGATCAGTGGTGGTGGTTAAGAATGGCAGCAGGTCTACATCTTTGGAAGCGTGGAATATGGTGATCAGCACGAGGGCTATGCCCGGCAATATTAACTCAGCGTCGTTCAATTCGTCAATGTTGACTGCCAGTTCCAAATGATACCACCGGTGATCAAGTTTCATCCATGTGGTTCGAAATCTACATCTTTCATTGTCTTTGTTGGGAACTGCATAGTTTGTTGCCATGGCCTGCACCAGTGCGGGATCACCATTGCAGGCCACTGCCCAAGACCGAAGCTTGCTTAGACGAATGATCTCAGGGGGAGGCTTCTGTGGCACCTTTCCATCAGGAGTGACCACCTTGTCTCTCGTTTGGACTTCGTTTTCTTCGACTTCACACAGGTCTGAGCCATCTGCCAGCTGTGGTTGGAGGTCGGCTGACACGGATGCAGACGCTGGTTTAGCTGGAGGTCTCGGATGTCGACC